TCGATGAAGGAAGCAGCGAGTCAGAGCAACCAGATCGATGAAGGAAGCAGCGAGTCAGAGCAACCTGATCGATGAAGGAAGCAGCGAGTCAGAGCAACCTGATCGATCAAGGAAGCAGCGAGTCAGAGCAACCTGATCGATGAAGGAAGCAGCGAGTCAGAGCAACCAGATCGATGAAGGAAGCAGCGAGTCAGAGCAACCAGATCGATGAAGGAAGCAGCGAGTCAGAGCAACCAGATCGATGAAGGAAGCAGCGAGTCAGAGCAACCAGATCGATGAAGGAAGCAGCGAGTCAGAGCAACCTGATCGATGAAGGAAGCAGCGAGTCAGAGCAACCTGATCGATGAAGGAAGCAGCGAGTCAGAGCAACCAGATCGATGAAGGAAGCAGCGAGTCAGAGCAACCTGATCGATGAAGGAAGCAGCGAGTCAGAGCAACCAGATCGATGAAGGAAGCAGCGAGTCAGAGCAACCTGATCGATGAAGGAAGCAGCGAGTCAGAGCAACCTGATCGATGAAGGAAGCAGCGAGTCAGAGCAACCAGATCGATGAAGGAAGCAGCGAGTCAGAGCAACCAGATCGATGAAGGAAGCAGCGAGTCAGAGCAACCTGATCGATGAAGGAAGCAGCGAGTCAGAGCAACCTGATCGATGAAGGAAGCAGCGAGTCAGAGCAACCTGATCGATGAAGGAAGCAGCGAGTCAGAGCAACCTGATCGATGAAGGAAGCAGCGAGTCAGAGCAACCTGATCGATGAAGGAAGCAGCGAGTCAGAGCAACCAGATCGATGAAGGAAGCAGCGAGTCAGAGCAACCTGATCGATGAAGGAAGCAGCGAGTCAGAGCAACCTGATCGATGAAGGAAGCAGCGAGTCAGAGCAACCAGATCGATGAAGGAAGCAGCGAGTCAGAGCAACCTGATCGATGAAGGAAGCAGCGAGTCAGAGCAACCTGATCGATGAAGGAAGCAGCGAGTCAGAGCAACCAGATCGATGAAGGAAGCAGCGAGTCAGAGCAACCAGATCGATGAAGGAAGCAGCGAGTCAGAGCAACCTGATCGATGAAGGAAGCAGCGAGTCAGAGCAACCTGATCGATGAAGGAAGCAGCGAGTCAGAGCAACCAGATCGATGAAGGAAGCAGCGAGTCAGAGCAACCAGATCGATGAAGGAAGCAGCGAGTCAGAGCAACCTGATCGATGAAGGAAGCAGCGAGTCAGAGCAACCTGATCGATGAAGGAAGCAGCGAGTCAGAGCAACCAGATCGATGAAGGAAGCAGCGAGTCAGAGCAACCTGATCGATGAAGGAAGCAGCGAGTCAGAGCAACCTGATCGATGAAGGAAGCAGCGAGTCAGAGCAACCTGATCGATGAAGGAAGCAGCGAGTCAGAGCAACCAGATCGATGAAGGAAGCAGCGAGTCAGAGCAACCTGATCGATGAAGGAAGCAGCGAGTCAGAGCAACCAGATCGATGAAGGAAGCAGCGAGTCAGAGCAACCTGATCGATGAAGGAAGCAGCGAGTCAGAGCAACCTGATCGATGAAGGAAGCAGCGAGTCAGAGCAACCAGATCGATGAAGGAAGCAGCGAGTCAGAGCAACCTGATCGATGAAGGAAGCAGCGAGTCAGAGCAACCTGATCGATGAAGGAAGCAGCGAGTCAGAGCAACCTGATCGATGAAGGAAGCAGCGAGTCAGAGCAACCTGATCGATGAAGGAAGCAGCGAGTCAGAGCAACCAGATCGATGAAGGAAGCAGCGAGTCAGAGCAACCTGATCGATGAAGGAAGCAGCGAGTCAGAGCAACCAGATCGATGAAGGAAGCAGCGAGTCAGAGCAACCTGATCGATGAAGGAAGCAGCGAGTCAGAGCAACCTGATCGATGAAGGAAGCAGCGAGTCAGAGCAACCTGATCGATGAAGGAAGCAGCGAGTCAGAGCAACCTGATCGATGGAGAAGAGAAACATGTTGAAATCTGCAGCTTCTCTGCAGCAAACCTGACTTGGGATTCAAACCGTCATCCCGACATCAGGAGCTGAAGCTGCTGATAAAAATAAAATGGTTTCTAAAGTATTTCAGGCTCCGAGTTCCTGGGGAGACGATTCATTTTTCAGACATTAACAGAAACACACACTGTCTGATCTACTTTCTATAGTTCTAGTGAGGACGCAGGCAGCAGCGTCTGGATCAGCAATAATCAATGGATCATTATTTATACCTAAAACTAATACGTCATTAAATGGATGTAGCTTTAATCAGTAAAAAAATAAAAACAATCATTTATATCATTGTTTAAGAGATTTTAAAGTAATTCAGATAATTTAAAAAAATTATCAAGTTTTGAAGTTTTACAGATTGTGTAAATTCTTTGAAGACTAGAGCAGCTTTAACTCCTCTGATGCATCAGATCCCAAAATGATCAAAACTCCATTGGCTGCAGTTTGAAGCTTGAACCACTAGAGGTCTCTAAATCCGACATGATCTGTCAGCAGCAGACAATAACCAAAGCATTAGCAGCTGAGCATCACTGTGGATTTAAAGGAAAAGTCTGACCAGAGCGGAATAATCAATGGATCATTATTTATACCTAAAACTAATACGTTTGTGATTATTTAACTAATTTAGCATTAATCAGTAAAATCAAGAAATAAATAATAATTTTCGTTGCTATCACAGAGTCTGGGAGCGGCCATTTTTGCCCATATATAGTAGCCCCTCCCTCCTGCCATCTTCCAGCAGTGACGTCACCGTGCGGTTAGCCTAGCGCCATTCTCCCCGCTTTCCAAGCTAAATCAATGGGAACTACTAGACACATCTGCAATCAACAACAATTATTGAAGATTTCCAGAGGACTTCACCATTGAAATTCACCAGAGCTATAGTGAAACTGACAATGCCCACGTGCATGGCAGCTGGATGCTGGAATACATCGGGTAAAAGTGGAAAAAAGAGTTATTCCACCTTTCTGATTCCTGATCCTCCACGGACGGGTTGGTCGTTGGATCGCCAACTTGAAGAGGGAGGATTTGCCATCGAACTTCTGGGCAGAGAAAAAACCCGTAATATGTAGCCAACATTTGGAAGAAGAATGTTTTCAAGATGACTTGGATAATAGCGCGTTGTGACAAACACCAGATACAGCACTGGGACTTGATCAACAGCCGATACCGCACCGTGACGTCACTAACCAGTAGGTGGCAGTAGTGTTCTTTGACAAACATGGATGCCTCCAGTAAAGCACATTCACATGAAAATTACTCTGAATTAAAAACACTGATCATTTATTGAACAGGATGGAATCATTTCACATTTAAAGAACTTTCAGAAGTTTGAATTCTGAATATGAGCGACTTTTCCTTTAAGTCACTTCTCTCTGATCTTATTTTACAGTTTGGAAGAATCATCTGAATCCGTGACCTGACAGTTCAGGGTGACCTTCCCCTCAGAAACACGGTGACACACCAAACAATATTTGGCAAGTTTCTGCAAACATCCTCTTTTATTTTCCTCAGCCTTCTCTGTAAAAAATAGAAATCTCAATAAGTTAGTTTTTCTTAAAATAAGTGCATTTTTCCTTGAATTAAGGAGGTAAGTGAGACACTTTGCCAATGGAACAAGAAGATTTCCTTTTAAAATAAGAAAAAACAATGTTATTGTCTTATTTCAAGTGCATATTATCTAACTATCTTATTTTAAGAGTAAAAATACTCATTCCATTGGCAGATCCTCTTATTTACCTGCTCAAATTAAGGGTAAATATACTTAATTTAAGAATTTTTTACTTATTTCTGGATTATTTTTGCAGTGGATCAGATTCGGGTTTTGATCTTTGGTTCGGGGTCAGAAATATATTGAACTAAATTCACAACAGAAGCTTATAAAAATATGACAGTTTACAGAAATTACACTGCATAAATTATCTAAAAATAAGTAAAGAATTCTTAAATTAAGTGTTTTTACCTTTAATTAGAGTAGGTAAATGAGATAATTTGCCAATGGGAGTAGGATATTTACTCTTAAAATAAGATAATTAGATAATATGCACTTGAAAAGACAATAAAATAGTATATATCACCTTGTTCCATTGGCGAAGTGTCTCTTTTAGAATAGAATAGAATAGAATAGAATTCAACTTTATTGTCATTACACTGTCACGAGTACAAAGCAACAAAATGTGGTTTGCATCTATCCAGAAGCGCTATACAGGGTATACTGTACATATTACTACATATGTACAAGCAAAAAGTAATAGTTAGGGACTGTAAAAAGTTGTGTATAAATATAAATATGAATATCGGAGCTACATGCACAGAATATACGGGAATGTTAGGAAAAGGATTATACATGTATTATAATTTATAATACAAGATAAATAAAGGCAGATAAGATTTACAGATTATATAAAGATTGTGTATGTATGTTTTATCTCCTGAATCGATCAACAAATGCACTTAAAAAAAAAAATGACTTCCAGTGCAAAGGTTTTATATTACACTGCAAAAAATAGAAATCTCAATAAGTAATTTTTTTCTTAAAATAAGTCCCTTTGTTCTTTGCCAATGGAACAAGATGATTTCTTTTTAAAATAAGAAAAAACAATGTTATTGTTTTTCATTTTATTTACCTGCTCAAATTAAGGGTAAATACACTTATTTTAAGATTTTTTTTACTTATATCTAGATCGTTTTAGCAGTGCAAGACCTGCATTGGAAAAAATCAAAATCTAGATAAGTAATTGCTTCTTAAAATAAGTGCATTTGTTCTTGAATTGAGAAAGTAAAAGAGAAATTTTGCCAATGGACAAATGTAATTTACATTTAAAATAAAAAAACGCATTTATATTGTCTTATTTGAAGTGCATTTTATATAAATATCTTATTTTAAGCATAAAAATAGTCATTCTATTGGCAAATAATTTCATTTACCAACTCTAATTAAGGGTAAATACACTTAATTTTAGAAATTTTTATTTATTTCTAGATCGTTTTAGCAGGGCACGACCTGCTTACTAAGCGTTACAGGTTTCTGTAGACTTCTGGGGACCAGCTGTCCGTCAGCCAGCATACTGTCCTCATAAGCTGAGGAAAGACTGCTGTGTGTTTTCTAAAAACAGGAAGTGTGGGTTTTGTATAAAAAGTGATGCTGGAGGCGTTTAGATCATCCTCTGATCGGATCAGAATCTGGACAAGCAAACACCTCTCCGTCTGAACGGTGAGTTTCAGCCTTTTTTACACGATAATCTGTTATCTGCTTTTATCTGCTGCATGTTTAATACAATCAAATCTGACAAAACTATGAAAGAGGGCAGCGTTCTTACAACGCCTGAGAGACAAAAACTAAGATAGAAAACTATGTACTACACACACTGGAAAAAATCATGATTTAGATTTGATTATTTCTTAAAATTAGTGCATTTGTTCTTGGATTAAAGAGATAAAAGAGACATTTTGCCAATGGAACAAGAAAATGTACACTTTAAATAAGAAAAAAACAATTGCATTGTCTTATTTAAAGTGCATTTATATGGAAGAGGATTAGGGCCAGTGGCAAAAATAAAAAAAAAGTTAACTAATTTTTAAATTTTATTTCAGTTTAGTATGGAAAAAAAGTCAGAATTCTGACTTTTTTCTCAGAATTCTGACTTTAATCTCAGAATTCTGACAGAATTCTGACGATAAAAAAAAATCAGAATTCTGAGATTAAAGTCAGAATTCTGAGAATAAAGTCAGAATTCTGAGAAAAAAGTCAGAATTCTGAGAAAAAAGTCAGATTCTGATTTTTTTTTCTCATACTAAGCAGAAAAAATAAAAAAATCAGTTAACTTTTTTTTTTCCAGTGGCCCTAATCCTCTTCCGTACATATACGCTTATTTTAAGCATAAAAAATATTTACTCTATTGTCTCTTTTACCCCCTCAATCCAAGAACAGATTAATTTATTTTAAGAGAAAATTACTTATCTAGATTTCTTTTTTGTTCCAGTGTACTTGAGGTTTCTTCCTGTTCAAAGGGAGTTTTTCCTCTCCACTGTCGCTACAAGCATGCTTAGTGTGAGGGATTGCTGAAGAGTCAATGAGTCGATGCAATCAGCTGGTTTTCCTTAGATAGAAAACTTTGAATCAATCTGACTCGATGATCTGGTAAACTGGAAATTGACCTGAGATGACATGATGTGAATTGGAGCTATAGAAATAAACTGAATAGAATTGAATATTTGGCTAATTAGTTCAGATTAACTGAGCAGAAACCAAAAGCAGTGAGAAAACTCAATGGTTAATAATTATTATCACCCAAACTATTCAGATCTCTCTGATAAAAACATTGTAGAAATCACTGTTAGCTTGGAGCTTGTGCTGCTAACTGCTTCTTCTCTGGTGTAAAAGAGCGGGAGTCTCTATGGCAACCAGACAGTTATTTTTCCTGAGCCCTGGTTCTTCTGTTTTCTAGCAGCTCATTCTTTCTCTTATTTATTGATGGAATTTTATCGAGGTTTGGTTATTAGCTAGTAGCTATGCTGGGACCTTAGATTTTTGCTTTCTGATGCTTGTTTGGAGATGATTTCCCCAATCATATGTCTTTCTTTTTAATTTCTATTTTGTGTTCTTTCTCCTGCAGTCTGTACCCAACGTTCTACACATTTGTTGTTTATCAGTGCATTTGGCTATTATTTAAAAGTACATCTTCAGTGTTACGTTTTCATTGTATGTTTTATAATTTAAAGATCTTTGTTCTCTTTTTCAGCTCTTGAATCTTTTTTCTTCCACGAACACTTTAAAAGATGGCCCGATCTTTTCGCAAAGGGAATCTGGTAAACATCACCACAAAAACATTGTAGATATCCTTAAAACCATTAAATAAATAAAAAAATATCTTCTGCTTTTCCTAATGCGTTTTTTTTCAGGTGCCCTGCAAAAACCTTGACATTGACATCAATGACTATCGTGACTTTGAGCCATTTGAAGGTGAAACCGATGTCATACCGAGGTCGATGCCACCTGGAGTTGGTAGGAATCAAATTGTTTTCGGGTGATTTGGGGCAACTAGAACGGGCCATGAAAACACATCGTCTTCTTCTGTGTCGTGCCATTTCCAGAGCCCCTGATGGTTGTGGCTGTAGACATGCAGAAACAAAGCAACGAGACCAACCACTACACCATGGAGTACATGACCGACCTCCTGGTGGTCCGTCGTGCTCAACAGTTTGCCATCGGCGTCACCTTCAACCGTCCACTGGTGCCATCTGACGATTTCCAGCTGGAGTTTCTGATTGGTAAGATTCCTTGATAATCTCTCCTCTGGCTGGTGTCCCTCAGAGGAATATTGATCTTTGGTGAAGTCTCTATGAACTCGTCACATCTGCCCACTGGGGCTTTTGTCCAGTCTTCCAGGCTAAGCATCTGAAGAGGCTATATCCTACACTCTTCATAATCTGTTAGTTTAATCTCTAACATTCTGCTATCTCTATAGTTCTGCTGCTATAGGCTTAGACTGCTGGAGGACATAGGGACCCATTTTTCATCATTCTGCTTCATTCTATCTCTATAGTTCTGCTGCTATAGGCTTAGACTGCTGGAGGACATAGGGACCCCTTTTTCATCATTCTGCTTCATTCTATCTGACTGGAATATCTGGTTGAATTGTAAAGCATCTTGAGATGACATGGTTGATAATTGGCACTATAGAATTAAACTAAATTGTATTGAAGCCTCTTAATGTTTGTTAACAGCGGATCCTCAGGTCTAACCTTAGATTCTCCAATTGAGGTCTGGACTTTGACTAGGCCATTCTTGCATTTTTAAATGTCTCCTATTAAAACTCATGGGTGTTGCTTTAACAGCATGCTTTGGGTCCTTGCCCTGCTGGAAGCTGGTTTTCACAGACCGAGTGCTTTGTTCAAGAACATTCCCATATTTATCACCATCAATCATTGCATGATACTCTCAGTTTTTCACAGTGGGAATACTATATAAACCAGGCAAAGGAAGCTGTTGCTGAACAAGATTATTGTCTTGTTCTTTCTGTTCTTTGCAAGAGTACATGATATATGGATTACTGCCAAAACCCTAGACAAAGACTACGTGCATTTATTAAACTATCATGTGTGAAAGGGTGTGAATGTTACCTCTCTACTTTAAAATGTCTCTATCTTGTCCCCTATAGGTTCTGACCCTAGCTCCAACAGTAATACAAGGGTGGTGGTCACTTTCGGGAACCGTGGTGGTGGTGGTTCCTGGTCTGGAAAGATCCTTGGAGCGAGTGGTGCGGTCGTGTCCCTCGGGATCACACCGAATCCCTCGGCCGTTGTGGGGTTGTATCGTATGTATGTGGCCATTGCCAATGCAAACGGTATGCGCCGAACCGAGAAGGACCCCAAAACCAACTTCTACTTGCTGTTCAACCCCTGGTCTCCAGGTACAACACTCTGAGTTTACTGCCACCCAGTGGCTGTGAGAGGTGGTGCAGTTTTCTTTTCTTTTTTTTAGCAAGTTGACTCCAAACCTTGAAGGCAAGTGAAAGACAACGATATTTTCTAAGTACACTGGGCTGCTTGGATTTGACAAGTGTGAAACGGTCTCTATGGTGTGCAGCTGAATGTGTTTTGATGTTTGCAGATGATGATGTGTTCTACCCGGATGAAGCTGGACGTATGGAGTACGTCATGAATGAAACTGGTCTGATATCTCAGGGTGCAGTGGGTTCTATCTCTGACCGTGGCTGGGTCTACGGACAGGTAATCATTGGGCTGCATAGGCAGACACAAACCATCAACCAATTGGAATTTGGTCTCAACGTGTTTACTCCCTTGTAGTTCCATGAGGGCATTCTGGATGCCTGTATCTACCTCATGGATGCCTGCCGGATGCCCGTCCAACAGCGTGGCGATGTTATCAAAATGGTCCGGACTGCATCTGCTTTGGTGAGGATACCTTAGCACTCATCCAAAGCCTGTCAATCACGTTCATGCAGATTCATGATTTTATTAATCTATACAATATGCTGGTGAAGATTCTCAGTCATCCAGCTCCTCTTAGGCGGCGGGGGGTTTTGTCTTTAGGATGCTTTTTAGATGACAGAGACTAGTGCATCCTTAAGACAAAAAACCCCAGACCTAAGATGAGTGGAGTGGTTTATGCCGTTCAATGCAGTGAGGAATGCTCTGATCTTTATATTGGAGAAACCAAACAACCTCTCCACAGACGCATGGCCCAACACAGAAGAGCGCCTTCCTCTGGACAAGACTCTGCATCCACCTGCACCTCAAGGACGAAGCACATTAGTTTTGTAGAAGCAGTTTTATTGTCTTATATCAGAATCAGAAATCAGAATCAGAATATATCCTACAACATGGCCCTACACTTTCTTAGCAACCAAACTTAAAGGTCAGTTTTGAATCTTAGTAACACCATGGTCTCCAAGACTGCATGAGGGGGTTTGGCAAAAACAGAGAACATCTGTGTAAACACCTCTTGAGGGTCGCAGTGACTTTGACGCAAATCAGCACACGTGAATTCCAGTAAGATGTCGACACAATATTCCCGTGCACGTGTATCCACACAGTGCGATGTGGAGCCTATAAATGCCCACAATGGATTGAAGGTTGGGGGAAATAACAGATGTGAGGACATAGCGCTGAATGTATGAAGTGTTTAAGACAGCTGTATGAATTCGGTTTTGTAAATAAATGTTCCCCCCTCTGGATGATAGATGGTGTGAATCGTGGCCTTCTTTCTGTCATAAGGGAATTCTACCAATGAGCTTTCATAGTTTGAGGCTAGAATGTTCAAATTTTGGACAAAGAAGACTTGGTTTGAGAGGGGCGTGAAGGAAGCCATCTATGTTAAGAAAGAAAAGCCAACCTTAAACAGAGGGGGGCGTCAGGTTTCAGCTTTCAAAAACCTACAATCAAAAACCTGATATCATTTCAATCCTCATCGCCTTGCAGGGGAACCAAACATGGAACCCGGTCAGCCAGGCCAACAACTCCCCATTACTAACGGGTGGACCTGTTTTTTCAGCTTTTGTTTGGACCATCCTATAAGCCTGGAACTCAATGCTATTTCTGATATTTTGAATTAAAAAACCTTCCTGGTTGGGAAGAAAAATGTGTTCAAACTTGAAAAACAAAGTCCAGTGGATTGTTTTTTTTTTTTTTTTTTACTTTTTAACTGTTTTTGAATAATCAATGTAAGGCCTAACATTAATATTAAGTTTAGATTTTTCTTTTGATCACTCACTCAGCATTTTGTAAATCGATTAAAATCAAACAATCGTGTATTTTTCTGGAAGCATTCTTCGTTTGCAGTGTATTTTTCGCACGCTACTGCATAATTGGGTTTAGGTCATTTAACCCAGTTTACTGCTTCACTTTCTCCCATTTTGGTCCTTTCTCTACCGGCTGTTTACAGTGGTAAAATAATTAAATTTACTCTGGTAGTTTTTTGTTTTACTTTGCTGTACACTTTAATGAAGAGGAGCTTTTTCAGATCTCTTCGGTTAGATTGCAAAACACAACACTTTTTTTAATGCCGAGTCGTGTACGGAGAAAAACCCTAGCCTCCTGATTAAGACTGGAAAATATATTTGTAATAATTTGTTTAAGATAGAGCATATAATGCACCAATGTTTATATATTTACCTGCCAGGATGTAAGTTATATGACCGCTGTGTATTTATCTAGATCAACTCTCATGACGACAATGGGGTGTTGGTTGGGAACTGGGGTGAAGACTTCTCCATGGGAACGCCGCCAACTGCCTGGACAGGGAGCATCCAAATTCTACAGCAGTACCACAACACCGGAGCTCCTGTCTCATATGCTCAGTGCTGGGTGTATGCTGGAGTCCTCAACACCTGTAAGGCTATCAGCTAAAATAACACGCTATAAAAACATCCTTCTCTGAGTTGAAAACCGCTTTGTTACCCTATAACTATCTCTATAGTTCTGCTGCTATAGGCCTAGACTGCTGGAGGACATAAGGACCCCTTTTTCATCATTCTGCTTCATTCTATCTCTATTCTCCCACTCTGCAGAATCTGTTAGTTCAATCTCTAACGTTCTGCTCTCTCTGCTTTTTCTCATAGTAGCTTCATCTGGTCTGTTCCTGTTTGGCTGTGACTCCATCCTGGAGAGAAATATCAGCTGTGCTGCTGCCATCAACACCTTTGTTTATAGATGTTGGAGCTCGGCCTGTTTTCCAATGTAGTCCTGTTTCTCTGACTGTGACTAACTGGATGTGCTCTCTTCATCCTCTGACATGGGAGCTGGCTCGGAGCTCGTCTGCCTGGCTGTGTGTTTCCTGGACGGGGCCGCCTGTGGAGCCGGTTGACAGTTGCCTTTTGTATCTATGCTTCTTTTTCTATGTCTGCTTCTGTCTCTTTGAACCCCAGTGGGCCTCAGCAGATGGCCGCTCACACTGAGCCTGGTTCTGCTGGAGGTTTCTTCCTGTTCAAAGGGAGTTTTTCCTCTCCACTGTCGCTACAAGCATGCTTAGTGTGAGGGATTGCTGAAGAGTCAATGAGTCGATGCAATCAGCTGGTTTTCCTTTGATAGAAAACTTTGAGTCAATCTGACTGGATGATCTGGTGAACTGGAAAGTACCTTGAGATGACATGATGTGAATTGGAGCTATAGAAATAAACTGAATAGAATTAAATTAATTGTTAAGTAAACAATATATAATTAAAAGCTACCAATAATTTAATATATTAAGGATAATCATTTTATGCATCTGAAGTCAAATTAAAATGTCCCTTTTTTTAATATTTCTCTATTGAATTTACAAAATTCGGGGCATTTCCAGCTTTCCATACAATCTGTAGTGAAACTGTTGCAGCTTCTGAAGTTTTGCTTCTATGACGTTTAAAACTGAAGCTTAACAGTTGATATATTGGTTAAAGGCAAACCGCTGACTTTTAAAGGAAAGAAATATGTAAAGTTACAGGAAAGTAAGAACTGGATGTTTTTCAAAAGCCAAAATAATTTAGAAAATGTTTTTAAATATTAACTGAGAGTGGAAGTGTTAAAAAATGGTCTGAATACAGCTGGAATAATAGAATAGAAATAGAGTCTAGATGTATATTTATATAAAGTTTGTAGCTTAGCAGCTAATATATCTAGAAGGATCTCTGTTTGTGAAACGTTTTTTCCTGCCCTCAGTCCTACGGTGCCTTGGGATCCCATCAAGGGTCGTCTCCAACTTCAACTCAGCCCACGATAACAACGGCAACCTCAAGACTGAGCTCGTCTTCAAGATGGATGACACACCTGACCGAGAACGGACCATCGAATCCATCTGGTTGGTCCAAAGTCCCCGTTATTGGATGTCAAAACAGAAATAGCAGTAAAGTCTCACTGTTTGACTTTAACCAAGCTGTTGGTTTGGGGAATAAACCAAACTAGAATGTCTACTTCTATCACAGTGCATTTTATTGGATGTTTTCTGTTCAGGAACTTTCACGTCTGGAATGAGGTCTTTATAAAGCGCTCTGACCTCCCACCAAAGTACTCTGGATGGCAGGTGGTGGACGCCACGCCCCAGGAGACCAGCGATGGTATGGCAGATGAACGGGGGCGCATTAAACCCACAGGTGGATTAAGGAGTGATTGACTCATCTATGTCCTCCTGCATTCCAGGTTACTACCGCTGCGGTCCGGCCCCTGTCATCGCCATCCGGGATGGGGAGCTGTGTTTCCCGTTTGACTTGGGCTTCGTCTTTGCTGAGGTTAGACTGCAGTAGAATCAATACTTCTGTCATCTTGTCTAAAAGCAAGTCAGTTGTAAGAAAACCCAGAAGGCTTCAATTAATAGAACCGTAAGCAGTTATGGAAGGGCTATAAGCAATCCCAGGTATATCCACCACTGGCCGCTCTTCTACTGAATCCCCGTGTCACCCCCCCCTCACCAATCTATCCCGCATCACTATTGACTTTTTCACGCGGTCAGATTAGAACAATGTGTCTATTTTTCAGAGTCTCGGGTAAAAAAATTAGGCCTTAATCTACAAATTCTATTCAGTTCAGTTTATTTCTATAGCTCCAATTCACATCATGTCATCTCAGGTCACTTTATAGATGCAGATCAACCAGATCATCCAGTCAGATTGGTTCAAAGTTTTCTATCTAACCAGCTGCGTCAGCAATCCCTCACACCAAGCATGCTTGCAGTGACAGTAGGGAGGAAAAACTCCAAAAATATCAACTGTTAAACGTCAAATTTAAACGTCTCTCAAGCAAAACTTCAGAAGCTGATTCAATTTGACTGCATATGTATGGAGAGCCGGAAATGCCCGAATTTTGTAAATTGAATGGAGAAATATTTTACAAAGGAACATTTTAATTTGACTTCAGATGCATGAAACAATTATCATTAATAGATTATTGGTAGCTTTTTATTATATAATTTTAATTTAGGACCAATTAATTAAATGTAATTCAGTTTATTTCTATAGCTCCAATTAACATTATCTCGCTTTATAGTTCACCAGATCATCCATCGACTGTGTAAAATGCCTTGAAATTTTTTTTTTTTTATGGCGCTACATGAATAAAACTTTATGTAAATTAATAATCTAAAATATATAATAATAGATTTGTATTAGGAGGAGAGCTGTGCATCTTTGCCTGTGACTAGCAGTCAGCTCAGGTTGTAACTTCTACCTAAAACATTTCAGCTGTGTAAAGCCGTGTGGTCTCGCTGCTCCTCGGCCTGGAACTCTACCTATGAACTAAAAGTGACCCAATGGCTGACTGCATTTCTTCTAGGTTAACAGTGACGTCCATTTTATGAGAAGTGATCGCTACGGCAACCTGACTCCATACAAGGTGGACACAGAATATGTTGGAAAGGTCCTGTTAACTAAAGCTGTGGGCATGATGGCATCCGAGGACATCACAAGAACCTACAAGCACCCAGAAGGTCCTATTCACACATGGTTTGATAGATTACATCAACACAATTCGCAAAGTAACCACGACAACGTTAACGGATATAATCGGAATCTGCAGGAAGTGCAGCGGATGAGCAAACGATGTCCAGAGCCGAGGAGTACGGATGTTCACGAGATTATGCTGATGTCCCTGCTTCTAAGATAGACATCAAGATCTCAGCAAAGGCAGTAAGGAGTTCATCCATCCATCATCCATCCATCATCATCCATCCATCCATCCATCCATCCATCATCCATCATCCATCCATCATCATCCATCCATCCATCCATCATCCATCATCCATCCATCATCCATCCATCATCCATCATCCATCATCCATCATCCATCCATCCATCATCATCCATCATCCATCATCCATCATCCATCATCCATCCATCATCATCCATCATCCATCATCCATCCATCATCCATCCATCCATCCATCATCCATCCATCATCCATCCATCATCCATCATCCATCCATCATCCATCATCCATCCATCATCATCATCCATCATCCATCCATCATCCATCATCCATCATCCATCCATCATCATCCATCCATCCATCCATCATCCATCCATCCATCATCCATCATCCATCATCCATCCATCATCATCCATCCATCATCCATCATCCATCCATCATCCATCCATCATCCATCCATCATCCATCCATCATCATCCATCCATCCATCCATCCATCCATCCATCATCCATCATCCATCCATCCATCCATCCATCATCCATCCATCCATCCATCATCCATCATCCATCCATCATCCATCCATCATCCATCATCCATCCATCCATCATCCATCCATCATCCATCCATCCATCATCCATCCATCATCCATCATCATCCATCCATCATCCATCCATCATCCATCATCCATCCATCCATCATCCATCCATCATCCATCATCCATCCATCATCCATCATCCATCATCCATCCATCATCCATCATCCATCATCCATCCATCCATCATCCATCCATCATCCATCATCCATCATCCATCATCCATCATCCATCCATCATCCATCATCCATCATCCATCATCCATCCATCATCCATCCATCATCCATCCATCATCCATCCATCATCCATCCATCATCCATCCATCATCCATCCATCCATCCATCATCCATCCATCCATCATCCATCCATCCATCCATCCATCATCCATCATCCATCCATCCATCCATCATCCATCATCCATCCATCATCCATCATCCATCCATCCATCATCCATCCATCATCCATCATCCATCCATCATCCATCATCCATCCATCATCCATCATCCATCCATCATCCATCATCATCCATCATCCATCCATCCATCCATCATCCATCCATCCATCATCCATCCATCATCCATCCATCCATCCATCCATCATCCATCCATCCATCATCATCCATCCATCCATCATCCATCATCCATCCATCATCCATCCATCATCCATCATCCATCCATCATCCATCATCCATCCATCATCCATCATCCATCCATCCATCATCCATCATCCATCCATCCATCCATCCATCATCCATCCATCATCCATCATCCATCCATCCATCATTCATCATCATCCATCATCCATCCATCATCCAACCATCCATCATCCATCCATCATCCATCATCCATCCATCATCCATCCATCCATCATCATCATCCATCCATCATCCATCCATCCATCCATCCATCATCCATCCATCATCCATCATCCATCATCATCCATCCATCCATCCATCATCCATCATCCATCATCATCATCCATCCATCCATCATCCATCCATCATCCATCCATCCATCCATCATCCATCCATCATCCATCCATCATCCATCCATCCATCATCCATCATCCATCCATCATCATCATCCATCCATCATCCATCCATCCATCATCCATCATCCATCCATCATCCATCCATCATCCATCCATCCATCATCATCCATCCATCCATCATCCATCCATCCATCATCCATCATCCATCCATCATCCATCCATCCATCATCCATCCATCATCCATCCATCCATCCATCCATCATCCATCCATCATCCATCCATCATCCATCCATCCATCATCCATCATCCATCCATCATCCATCCATCCATCATCCATCCATCCATCATCCATCATCCATCCATCATCCATCCATCATCCATCCATCCATCATCCATCCATCCATCATCCATCATCCATCATCCATCATCCATCCATCATCCATCCATCCATCCATCCATCATCCATCCATCCATCCATCATCCATCCATCATCCATCCATCCATCATCCATCCATCATCCATCCATCATCATCCATCATCCATCATCCATCCATCCATCATCCATCATCCATCCATCCATCCATCATCCATCCATCATCCATCCATCATTCATCCATCCATCCATCCATCCATCATCCATCCATCCATCCATCATCCATCCATCCATCCATCCATCCATCATCCATCCATCCATCATCCATCTATCATCCATCATCCATCATCCATCCATCCATCCATCCATCATCCATCATCCATCCATCCATCCATCATCCATCATCCATCCATCCATCATCTATCATCCATCCATCCATCCATCATCCATCATCCATCCATCCATCATCCATCATCCATCATCTATCATCCATCATCCATCATCCATCCATCCATCATCCATCCATCCATCCATCCATCATCCATCCATCCATCATCCATCATCCATCATCCATCCATCCATCCATCCATCATCCATCCATCGTCCATCCATCCATCCATCGTCCATCCATCCATCCATCCATCCATCATCCATCATCCATCCATCATCCATCCATCCATCCATCCATCCATCATCCATCCATCCATCATCCATCCATCCATCCATCCATCATCCATCCATCCATCATCCATCCATCCATCATCCATCCATCCATCCATCCATCCATCATCCATCATCCATCATCCATCCATCCATCCATCCATCCATCCATCATCCATCCATCCATCCATCCATCCATCCATCATCCATCCATCCATCCATCCATCATCCATCATCCATCCATCCATCCATCCATCATCCATCATCCATCCATCATCCATCCATCCATCCATCCATCATCCATCCATCCATCATCCATCCATCCATCCATCCATCCATCCATCATCCATCCATCCATCCATCCATCATCCATCCATCATCCATCCATCCATCCATCCATCATCCATCCATCCATCCATCCATCCATCATCCATCCATCCATCATCCATCCATCCATCATCCATCCATCCATCATCCATCCATCCATCCATCCATCCATCATCCATCCATCCATCATCCATCCATCCATCCATCCATCCATCCATCCATCATCCATCCATCCATCATCCATCCATCCATCATCCATCCATCCATCATCCATCCATCCATCCATCCATCATCCATCCATCCATCATCCATCCATCCATCCATCCATCCATCCATCATCCATCCATCCATCATCCATCCGTCCATCATCCATCCATCCATCCATCCATCCATCATCCATCATCCATCATCCATCCATCCATCCATCCATCCATCCATCATCCATCCATCCATCCATCCATCCATCATCCATCCATCCATCCATCCATCATCCATCATCCATCCATCCATCCATCCATCATCCATCATCCATCCATCCATCCATCCATCCATCATCCATCCATCCATCATCCATCCATCCATCCATCCATCATCCATCATCCATCCATCCATCCATCCATCATCCATCCATCATCCATCCATCCATCCATCCATCATCCATCCATCCATCATCCATCCATCCATCCATCCATCCATCCATCATCCATCCATCCATCATCCATCCATCCATCATCCATCCATCCATCCATCCATCCATCATCCATCATCCATCATCCATCCATCCATCCATCCATCCATCCATCATCCATCCATCCATCCATCCATCATCCATCATCCATCCATCCATCATCCATCATCCATCCATCCATCCATCCATCATCCATCCATCCATCCATCATCCATCCATCCATCCATCCATCATCCATCCATCCATCCATCCATCCATCCATCCATCATCCATCATCCATCCATCCATCCATCCATCATCCATCATCCATCCATCATCCATCCATCCATCCATCCATCATCCATCATCCATCCATCCATCCATCCATCCATCATCCATCATCCATCCATCCATCCATCCATCCATCCATCATCCATCCATCCATCCATCCATCCATCATCCATCCATCCATCCATCCATCCATCATCCATCCATCCATCCATCCATCATCCATCATCCATCCATCCATCCATCCATCCATCCATCCATCATCCATCCATCTCTTCCTTCTCTATCCAGGGTTTTGTGGGTGATCCTGTGAAGGTTGCAGTAACTATCCTCAATCAAGGTGAACAGAGGAAATCTGTGATGGTGACGCTGGACATCAGCACGGTCTACTACACTGGAGTTCCCTCATCCGATCCCATCAGAGTTGGGAGCTTCGATCTTGACGTGGAAGGCTTGCAGCGTGAGCATTGAATCTCTTTGGTCTTCTATGGTTTAAAGCGTTCCTCCCATGACTGTTTGGATCTGTGTGGTTCTGTTGCAGAGGAAACTCGCACATTTGAGATTCCAGCTAAGGATTACATTCCTCAGCTGAAACCCAACAGCGGCCTGGAGATCACTGCGACAGGACGAACCGATGATGAAACGGTGACGGAGGTCCAGAAGCTCGCCCTGAAGCCTCCTCCGATGAACGTAGTGGTAAATCCCAGATGTGATATTAATGAAATAGTTGGTTATCTGAACATCACCATTCATACAGAGTTATTGATTGACTTAAATGTTGCAAAACTTTCAGAGGAAAATGAGAAGCTAAAGAGAACAGAGCACTAAACTAACCGTCACAACATCCGACAAGAATAAAATGATTGGGGCTAAATCTGCAGCATAATTATGGACTGATAAAAGGAATATTTCAATGTTTTTATAATGTAGTAACGAGGAGTAAGGGTCTACTTGTTATCTACTTGTTGATAAAAGTAGGTAAGTTTAAGAGGACCAAACGATCAAACACAGAAAGGGATTTGCAAACGTCAGCCTCTGCACAGGGGAGAAGAACTGCTGCCTCACAACCAGCACCTTTTCTCTCAGTTCCCCTCACAGCAAAGCCTTTTATTAACAGTTTACAACATAATAGGGCGGGTCTTAAACAGAATACCCTGTAATGATTATCTGGCAGGATGCAGGTCATAAGACAGTGTGAAATAACCATCTGGCTGGATGGAAGTCACACACCAGTGTGACTCTGCCTCATGACCTACTGGATGCAGGTCGTAAAAGTTTATGATCCTCCTGATTGAATCACAGGACAGAAATGTAGCATCTTATTTCTTCAATGTTTCATATGCCCACACATTCATTTTATAATTGTCATTCAATAACTCTAACATAAACCAATCAGATGAACGAAGCATATGACGTACTAACAGCCAGGGTCATCTTGCTGAAACCAGTCGGGAGAAGAGCAAAAACATCTTTTCCTCTGAGAAAAGCCTCCAGAGCAGTGTTTTGCTCTTCTTTCAGTGAACAAATTCTCTGTAACTCCGATAAAACTTGCTCGATAGCCACGCTAACGCTAGTTTCATCGGCTGAAGCCGCCATGTTCTTTAGACTGAACTGTCGCGCTTCTCGTTGCGTCGCACCTCAACCCGCCTCAAAGCCAACGCTGATTGGACGTTCGTTTGGTGAACAGCTCCAAATTTTCTTTAACGGAGAGTCTCCAGACTGATTAGCGAGTGAAACCTTGAAAGCTCGCGAGATCAGGATGGTCTCATGAGGCTAAACCCTCTTCCGTAGGTTATCGCCTGGCCACCCTATTAAAAATGTTCTGGCTACGCCTCTGGGAAGGGTCAGGAGAAAATCTGTCACCCTGTCCAGGGAATTTAGAATTACAGATTTTATTTTGTCTTTTTCAGGTGACAGGGACAGCTAAGGTGAATCATGAGATGTTTGCAGACGTTTCCTTCCAGAACATCCTGAGCTTCCCCCTCACTAATGCCAAGCTGTCCCTGGAAGGAGCTGGACTGATGGAGCAAAGGGTGTTCCAATACAAGTAAAGCCAGTTCAGATGGACTCGTGCACTTTCAGCTTGTAGAGCTGAACATTCACAGAAAATGTCGTGTTTCAGGACCATCGCTTCTATGGTTACTATATCCAAGAAGGTGGCTTTCACACCCATGAAGTCAGGTCGCCGGACGCTGCTGGTGCTGCTGGACAGCGAAAATTATCCTGATGTAAGTTTCACACTAAAACGTCATGTATTGTTTATGAACACGTTTTGTATTTGAAAAATATGAAATTCAGAACTGAAACTTGAAAAACATTTATGCTTTTTAGAGATTCTCAGATTTTATTAAATTTTTCCAGATCTTTTTTTTTTTTTTACTTTGTTATTTATTAAATATTTTTACATATTTAACATTTTAGATTTTTTCAAAATCACATTGAGTTTTACAAAATGGATTATTTTTTATTTTTATTTTTTTTATTTTTTTGGGGGGATCTGGAAAACCTGATTTAAAGGAATGAAATAAACAACAAATGAAATTAAATATGAACAAAATAACATGATCTGAAAAGATGAAATCTGTGATTACATCGTAGCTACTCTCAAAAAAATGTTTTTATTTTGGAATTTTTTCTGGATTTCATTATTTTTTTTTCTCATATCCATTTAAAAAAAACATTATTATAACTTTGTAACTCCTAATTATGATTTCAAACTTGAAATTATTATTTGAATCTCATAATTATGACTTACTATTTCGCTTTTTTTACTTTCATTTGTCCGGAAAGGGCTTCCATAGAAAAAAGGAAAGCTAAAAAAAAAAAAAAAAGAAACACTAACTGATGTAAAATATGTAAATGATCTCTACTTGCAGAACAAATTGTGGTTTTATTTGGTTGCTCTGTACTTTTCATGGATTTTTTTACCTATAAAACTGATTTTTTTTTTCTTTTTTAGGTGACCGCAATGGTTGAATTCGAGGTCATGCCGTAACTTTCATCCATTCATCCAATCTGCTACCTGATCGTGGACGACAAGCTTTGCAATTTAAATCAGCAATGATGATTTTTTTCTCCTTTAAAACTCTCTAGAATTATCCGTAAAATCAATCAAAATGAAGAATTAAAATGTAATTTCACTTCGAATTGCTTAGATTTAAAAATTCACACCATGAGGCTAAAATGTTAACCTGAAACAGTTAGAAAAGATAAATATCCCTCAATTTGAAATGTTTGCATTAAATCTTAAATTAGTTATAATAAGAGATAAATCAGAAAATAATTAAGAGGTTTGATAGATTTCTAAATTAATCCAATAATATATCAGTCATTAAAAATTTACAGGAACAGAATTTGCTTATTAAATGAACTTTAACTGGTTGTTTTATTATGAAACAATCAACATCCTCGTCTTTACTTTCACATTTAAATAAAGCTGAATTTAACCATTAGTGACCAAATGTCTCAGTGAACAGAACAGAAATACAACAAGCAGGTTTAGACAAGTGGATCAATTCTGATTTATTAAAACAAGTCAATGTTTAAACAGTAGAACAGAATAAAAAATCCCTTTATTATCCCATAATGTTAGAATTGTGGCGTTTCAGCAGCATTATAGCCAAGTAGTCACACAATGCGGACCTTAAAAGTGTATAAAAAAAATAAGCGGCAGAGTTAAAAATGAACAAATATATAAATTCTGTGCAGTCAGCCAAAGAATAAATAAGAAATAAACGGCTATGGACATGAAAATAGCAGCAACATCAGAGATGTGCAGAATGACAGCAGGAGGTTATTTAACTGACTAAAGTAGAAACCGTGCAAAATCAGCATGAATGCAAAAAAGTTGCTGCTAATTAAAAAGTAAAAAGTCATTCGGCACGTAAAAGTAAAAAAAAAAAAGTTTTTATAGCATTTCAAAGATACAAAAAAAAAAAAACAGGATGAAACTGGATTTCATCCAGTTTTTCCTTGGATTATTTCTTCTACTCGTTTATTAAAATTATCATTACATAATTTTAGTCTCACTATTATTCCCAATGATTTATGAAAAGTCTTAATTTTAAGCTGATTAATTTGGACTTTTTGACACAAATTGTTCCCTTTTGGTTTGGAAACTGAGGCTGTTGATGATTAAATTCCATTAATTCACTTATTTTAAATCAAAATTTTTTTTCAAATGTGATTCTAACTTCTTTACATTTTCTTTTATCCTTTTTATAACAAGAATGAAGCTGTGTACTAACAAATAAAGCATTTTCAAAGACACCAAATGTCTCCATTATGTTTTTTAGATTTCTATTTTGCACATAAGAAGATAATATAAAATTTTTAGACCCAAATCTACACAATGACCTGGTTGTTAAAGGAAAAGTTTGGTCATATTTAGTATTTAACTCCTGAAAGTTCTTTAAATGTGAAAAGATTCCATCCTGTTCAATAAATGATCAGTGTTTTTAATTCAGAGTAGTTTTCATGTGAATGTGCTTTACTGGAGGCATCCATGTTTGTCAAAGAACACTACTGCCACCTACTGGTTAGTGACGTCACGGTGCGGTATCAGCTGTTGATGAAGTCCCAGTGCTGTATCTGGTGTTTGTCACAACGCGCTATTATCGAAGTCATCTTGAAAACATTCTTCTTCCAAATGTTGGCTACATATTACGGGTTTTTTCTCTGGCCAGAAGTTGGATTGTCAATTAATAGTCAGGTTATCCTGAGCTATCTCTATAGTTCTGCTGCTATAGGCTTAGACTGCTGGAGGACATAGGGACCCCTTTTTCATCATTCTGCTTCATTCTATCTCTATTCTCCCACTCTGCAGAATCTGTTTGTTCAATCTCTAAAGTTTTGCTCTCTTTGCTTTTTCTCGTCCGTTTCCTAGATGGGGCCGCCTGTGGAGCTGGTTGCCTTTTGTATCTATGCTTCTTTTTCTATGTCTGCTTCTGTCTCCTTGAACCCCAGTGGGCCTCAGCAGATGGCCGCTCACACTGAGCCTGGTTCTGCTGGAGGTTTCTTCCTGTTCAAAGGGAGTTTTTCCTCTCCACTGTCGCTACAAGCATGCTTAGTGTGAGGGATTGCTGAAGAGTCAATGAGTCGATGCAATCAGCTGGTTTTCCTTAGATAGAAACTTTGAATCAATCTGACTGGATGATCTGGTTGAATTGTCTCTGTAAATTGCTTTAAAAGGACAGGTGCTGTGAATTGCTGCTACAGAAATGAACTGAACTGAATTGAAATGTTTCTGATTACTTGTTGGAACTGATCTAGTCTCCCCTCAGAAGTCAAAGGACACTATCTGGTCCCACTTCCGTTCAGTCCAGCCTCACCAACCTTGTTTAACACTCTAAAGGTGGTCCAATGGAGGTATCATTACTGGCCCAGCTGTTTTATTTGTTTAACTACCTGCTTTTATTGTATTTATTATTCCGCATTGATCTTACTTCTATTTTATAGTTTATTTCCTGTAGAGCACTTTAAATTGTCTTTGTACTGAAATGTGCTGTAGAAATAAACTGGCCTTGCCTTCTAATGGGTCAAACACTGACCTTTAAGCAGTTTCTGCTCATGCGGTTCAGGTGAAAAGGTGCAGTTCATAGAGCCTGCCACCAGAGGGAGGCAGCAGCCTTTACTTTCCTAGTTACTGTCCCTCCTGCGACCTTCACACTCATTTCTTTCTCCTAATAATCAACTTCTTCAGACACTCATTTCTATTTCCTTTCATCTTTGACGTTGTGTTAACATAGACCTACATATTCCAGAGTAGTAATCTCTGCTCCATCCGGATGGTTCTCTGCATTATGTGCCTCTTTCAGACTGACTGTTGCTACTGAAACAGAACAAATGGCTTTAATTGGCTCATAAAAAAAACACTTGGAAGAATTGGTAGACTTTTGTCTGTGTTTCTGTTTTTCAGCCAGCCCTGAACCCAGCCCCCTCCCAAACACACACCCACCCCTCCACCCCCTGCAGCCACAGGTAAGTCGACGTCATGGCAACGGTATCTGATGCATCAGCATCACAAAAACTGGTCGTTCCAGGTCCTGACACTCAGACACACCCAGGGTCCTCCTTAGGGAGCAACGAGGAGCCGGGCTGTGAGTCTCCTACCTGGAGTGGAGTTCCTTTAAAGTCAGGATACCTTCCTCCCTGTTAGGTTACCTGCTTAGAGAGGATTCCTAGACTGAAAACATGCCTCTGCAGTCTGCTGTTGGTAACCTCTGATCATCATCATCTGATCATCTGATCATCATCAAGACCCAGTGATCTCTTTATATGTCAGACCATGGGCAGTTCTAGACAGGACCAAATTCTCCCCAGTGGTGCCCGACTTTACACGAGTGAATACAGTGAATGTGATTGGTTGAATATCAAGGGGGCGGGATTGTTGTGGCGGAAGGTTCGCAAGCAAGTTTGGTTGTGGCCCGGTTTGTCGGAAGCATCTTGCTAACCAGTTAGCAACTTAGTGCTAGTAAGTTCCCAATGGGAAATTCCATTGGGACCAAGTAGCACTAAGTTGCTAGCCAGTTAGCAACTTAGTGCTAGTAGGTTCCCAATGAGAAATTCCATTGGGACCAAGTAGCACTAAGTTCCTAACCAGTTAGCAACTTAGTGCTAGTAGGTTCCCAATGAGAAATTCCATTGGGACCAAGTAGCACTAAGTTGCTAACTAGTTAGCAACTTAGTGCTAGTAGGTTCCCAATGAGAAATTCCATTGGGACCAAGTAGCACTAAGTTGCTAGCCAGTTAGCAACTTAGTGCTAGTAGGTTCCCAATGGGAAATTCCATTGGGACCAAGTAGCACTAAATTGGTGACTTAGAAACGACGCTGTCAAGGAACGCTATGGACAGAGGAAACATGCAAGAGGAGGAGAGTTTAGTGTCGGAGGTCGTGGATGAGTCTCCTCCGTCATCCATTTTTTATTTAGAGGAGGAAAGCGGGGACGAAGATGTTGTGGAAGAGGACGCCAGGGCGGCAGAAGCTTGGTTTGGTGTAGAAGGCTTCCAGCCGTACATGTTTGAGCCCTTGCCTCGCAACGCTGCCAGTTCTGTTAGCTCTACGCCTGCCGAAGACACAGACGTCCATCCCCGTGAACACTGGGACGCAACTCAATGGGAAAGGAAAGGATTCTGGTTTCAACCGTTGCGTATATTAGCTGCGACACATGAATCAAGATGCTATGACCGAAAACATTTGATTGACAGATGACCGTTGATATATGATTGGCTGAATTTAGGTGTTCAGGCTGACGTAGAACTAACTGGCCTGCAGAAGATAACGAAAAAAACACAGATTTGAAGACTAGATAGAATAGAATATGAATTGTCTAAATTTTGGGACAATATGGTCTGATAAAGAGAACATTTATATACATGTTTAAGTCAGAATGATTTAAATATGATTTCCCAACAACTTTAAAAAAATATGTTTTGCTATTCCTTTAAAAACAAAAAGGTTATAGCTTCAGGGGTATTGAGATAGGATCCTTGTTAAATGTTTTTTTTTTTATTCTCTAATTTTTGTTTTTCTTGAGTTCTAATTCTGATTTTGTAGAGAACTTTTATTTTAACTTAAATTAAAAAAACATCTTCTAATATGCATGCTCTAACACAGACAGATGAACAGTTAAAGAGCTGCTCCTGCAAACACTGAACAACCATATTTCCAAAGCAGACAATGGGAGGAAGGCATGAGAGGGATTCTTAGAAGGAGAACATAAAGACGTGAGTTCTGGACTGAAACACTGGGACAAGACTGGAGTTCAGTTCAGATGTAGATCAGTCAGCTGGATCTAGACGGTTTTATTAACCTTTGACAAACATTGATGCCTCCAGTAAAGAACATTCACATGAAAATTACTCTTAATTAAAAACACTGATCATTTATTGAACAGGATGGAATCATTTCATATTTAAAGAACATTCAGAAGTTTAAATTCCGAATATGAGTGAACTTTTCCTTTAAAGCTCATCAGTTCTTCTATCTTCAAACAACTGTCTCCAAACCTTCAGTGTTCTTAGCTACTTCTTATAACTGGATGATGTGCTCTGGGAACAATGACAAACGGACGAACCACCTGTCTGCATCTGGTCCATATTCTTCCTTCCCTCTGAGTGCCTTCATGTTGGTTCCTTCCACTTGATAAAGAAACCACAAAATCTGCCTCAAATATCAGTTTCTTATGGTGACATTGAACTTGTTTTAGGGTATTGGTGAACTAGTCCGAACTTGTTTTGGGGTCTGAACTGTTTTGGCATCTTTGTGCATCAGCTTGGAATTGTTTTCTTGTCTTTAAACTTGTTCTTTGTGTCTTTGTGTATCAGTATGGCTTTGTTTCTAAGGCCTTTGTGCATTAGGCTTGTTTCGGTGTCTTCATATTGATTTAGTTTTGGTGTTTTGTAGATCTTTATGCATCAGTTTTCTCTGGGCATCAGTTTGGACTTGTTTTTGTGTCTTTGGTCTTGTTTTGGTGTCTTTGGTCTTGTTTTTCTGACTTTGGTCTTGTTTTGTGTCTTTGGTCTTGTTTTGGTGTCTTTGGTCTTGTTTTTCTGTCTTTGGTCTTGTGTTTGTGTCTTTGGACTTGTTTTGGTGTCTTTGGAATGTTTTTGTGTCTTTGGTCTTGTTTTGGTGTCTTTTGTCTTGTTTTGGTGACTTTGGTCTTGTTTTTCTGTCTTTGGTCTTGTGTGTGTGTCTTTGGACTCGTTTTGGTGTCTTTGGACTTGTTTTGGTGTCTTTGGTCTTGTTTTAGTGTCTTTGGACTTGTTTTTGTGTCTTTGGTCTTGTTTTGGTGTCTTTGGTCTTGTTTTAGTGTCTTTGGACTTGTTTTTGTGTCTTTGGTCTTGTTTTGGTGTCTTTGGAATGTTTCTGTGTCTTTGGTCTTGTTTTGGTGTCTTTGGAATGTTTCTGTGTCTTTGGTCTTGTTTTGGTGTCTTTGGTCTTGTTTTGGTGTCTTTGGAATGTTTCTGTGTCTTTGGTCTTGTTTTGGTGTCTTTGGTCTTGTTTTGGTGTCTTTTGACTTGTTTTTGTGTCTTTGGTCTTGTTTTGGTGTCTTTGGTCTTGTTTTGGTGTCTTTTGACTTGTTTTAGTGTCTTTTGACTTGTTTTGGTGTCTTTGGTCTTGTTTTGGTGTCTTTTGACTTGTTTTTGTGTCTTTGGTCTTGTTTTGGTGTCTTTGGCCTTGTTTTTCTGACTTTGGTCTTGTTTTGTGTCTTTGGTCTTGTTTTGGTGTCTTTGGTCTTGTTTTTCTGTCTTTGGTCTTGTGTTTGTGTCTTTGGACTTGTTTTGGTGTCTTTGGAATGTTTTTGTGTCTTTGGTCTTGTTTTGGTGTCTTTTGTCTTGTTTTGGTGTCTTTGGTCTTGTTTTTCTGTCTTTGGTCTTGTGTGTGTGTCTTTGGACTCGTTTTGGTGTCTTTGGACTTGTTTTTGTGTCTTTGGACTTGTTTTGGTGTCTTTGGTCTTGTTTTGGTGTCTTTTGACTCGTTATGGTGACATTGACCTTGTTTCAGGGTTTTTTGTGATTCAGTTTAGACTTCATTTGTTGCCTTTAATCTTGTTCTTTGTGTCTTTGTGTGTCAGTATGGATTTTTTTGAGTGTGTATTGGTTTAGACTTGTAATGGTGTCTTTGTTCATTAGTTTATACTTGTTATGGTGTCTCCATATCAGTTTAGACTTGATTTATTTTTTTGTGTCTTTAAATAAATATCTGGTGTCTTTAATTTTGTTCTTTGTGTCTTTGTGTATCAGCATGGCTTTGTTTCTAAGGTGTTTGTGCATTAGTTTGGACTTGTTATGGTGCGTCCATATCAGTTTAGACTTGTTTTGGTGTCTTTGAACTTGTTTGTAGATCTTTGTGCATCAGTTTCTTTTGACTCTTTTAATTTTCTTCTGGTTCTTGGTTCAGCAGTTTGAACTTGTTCTCTCTGCTTCGTTTATCAGTTTTATCTTTTTCTCGTTCTCTTTGCATCGGCTTGGACTTTTTCTGGTGTCTTTAAACTTGTTTTTCGTCTCTTTGTGTATCAGTATGGCTTTGTTTCCAATGTCTTTGTGCATCAGTTTGGACTTGTTATGGTGTCTGTATCAGTTTTGACTTGTTTTGGTGTCTGTGCATCAGTTTTAAAATGTTTCTTTTGACTCTCAGCATCAGTTGAACATTTTCTTCTGGGTCTTAGTTTATCAGTTTCAACTTCTTTCTAAGGTCTTTGTGCATCAGTTTAACTTGTTCCCTCTGCTTCCATCATCAGTTTGAACATTTTCTGGGTCTCTGTGCATCCAGTTCCGTTCAGACTTGTTTCTGCATCAGTTCGAACCTTTTTCAGTCTTGGTTTATTAGTTTGAACTTGTTTCTGGAGTCTTTGTGCCTTAGTTTTCACTTGTTTCTGAGGTGTTATGTCTTTTTTGGGGGGGTCCTTATAACATCTACCGGTGTCCAGCTGAGTAGGTCGTTTGCATTGCAGATTTCTCTTCTTTAAAGAAAAGGATCCAGTTTTCCAGCCTCGGTTGCTCTCAAACCTGCTGCAGAAGCTCTGCAGGCCTCAGGCTGCAAGGCAAACAACTGTTACCTACAAATCATCCGTCACTATTGGAAACCGGTTTTTCACCCCTCCTCTCCCCTCCGTGTTTTCTCCCACATGCATCCTCCCTCCTCCTCCCCTTCCTTCTCCTCCTCTTATTGCAGAGCACATGTCTGGTTGCACTTTTCTGTGACTCTTTTCTACAGGGAGGACGCAAACAGGACTGAGGAGGAGAACATGTGTCGCTGAAGCTGGCTGGGAAACAGCAGCTTTGGCTCATCATCCCCCCACATTGCCGACAGGTGTTGGCTTCATGTGACTGCCTGCCTGTCCGGACAACGCTCCAATGAAGAAAGAGGAGGAGGAGGAGGCGGAGTGTGTAAGGTTTCATCAACAACAACTGTGTCAACTCTGCAGCCGCTGGGTTGGGAAACTACCAGCTTCGATTTGAGTTCAGGGATGCCTTTC